TTCCATGGCAGTCTGTTTAACTGGTTTTGTTAACACTGATGGGACACTCAATGCTCTACATTTCAGAGGAGGATAAAAATGAGAAAGGGGCAACAGCAGATTCGGTGCAGCAGCGACGTCAGTATCGCAGACAGAATCGACAGTCGTCTTCAGGTTAAAAGCGTTTTTATCCCCGTTCTTTCCTCTCCCATACCCAACCCCTTTCTCTAACCAAGTCTCTGTCCATGTCATCTTGCACTCATCGTCTCATGGACTTTTGAAGCTGTGCCCTAACCCCAACCTTGGTGTCTTTTCCTCACCGCATACAGTTAAGGCTACAATGAAACAGTTGCTGATGCCCCCTGTCTCTGTGGTTTCAGATACAGGGTCTTCCTCCTCAGAAGATGAGGGACCCAAGAGGCCGACAGCAGGGCCAGGTGCAAGGAATGGTGAAGTCAGGAGGAGACGAAGCCGTACACCTTCCCCACGGAGGCGACACAGGGATCTCTCTCCAAGGTTAGACATTAGGCACAATACTTATACATAGGGCTGGGTGATAAATCGACAGCAATAATTATCAAGAAATTATTTTCCTCGATAGAAACATTAAAAATGTTCGATAAGTTTTCAATATAATTAGGTCTGCATTGCACAAGTTAGGATGCACAGTGAGGTATAAATGCAGGTCAGCACATGATATTATTTACAGACGCACGCAGTGGCTGGCGGGCAGAACACAGCTCAAAGGAGGAAGATATTGAGAGAGGCCACTCAACTTCAGTAGTTTGAAGATATTTTGGCTATTTACAGTCTGACAAAAACAGCAATGTGCACTGCACACTGCCGGAGACATGTTCCATCAAAGACAGGCAACACCACAAACCTGTTTCATATTTGAAACAATATCAGCCGTTAGAACACACACAAAGGGAGAAATTACAGGCCCAAACGAGTATTAGTGGACCCTCAACGAGCGCCAGGCCAGTACCCAGCGCAAATCAGCCTTTAAACTTGAAAGAAATAATGATGTGGCATTTATCGTGATAAATATCGATACATTTTTATCGTGATAACAGTTTTGGCCATATCACCCAGCCCTACTTCCACACTATCTGAATGATTTAACTTCTAAAATCCAAGTTGACGACATTATTTTTTGTCTTTGTACCTTTCCAGGAAAAGAAGATCTCCATCTCCTGGACGCAGACGACGCTCCCCCTCTCCCCCACGACGTCGCAGATCTCCCTCTCCTCCTAGACGCAGGTATAAGCATGGTCATGTTCATTTTGTTTTATTTAATATTAATAATCGAGGATTCAGAGTGGTTTTTGACAGTTGTATTTGGTGCTTCCTAGGTCTCCCTCCCCACCTCCCCGTCGACGATCTCCATCCCCCAGACGATATTCTCCCCCGATCCAGCGTCGCTATAGCCCCTCACCGTTGCCTCCACAGAAGAGGAAGATGTCTAGCTCTCCTGCTAAACGCTCCTCTCCAGGGCCCAAGCGACGTCCCTCTAGGTCCCCCAAGCGCAGAAGTTCTCCTGCTCAAAGGAGACGCACACCTCCATCCTCCTCATCACCACCAAGACATAGGAGGAGCCCCATGTTGCCTTCTGGCTGGCAAAGCAGGGACACACGGTCCCCTGCTGCAGGAGCCAGCCGCCTGTCCCCATCTCCTGTAAACCGCAGTCGCAATCTTAGGGGTTCCACCAGTCCCCAGGGACGTTTTGAAAGCTCCTGCACATCTCCATCAAACCAGCGAAGACAACAGTCCCCTTCACACAGTGGCAAACCCTTCCGCAGAGTGTCCCGCACCCCAGAGCCACGCAGCAACCAGAGGTAAAAGAAGCAAGCATTTATAGGACAGTCGTTTTATTCTTTTTGTACACTGGAACCTGTGTATGTGCAGTTAGTCTTTGAACATCCTCCTGATGTCAACTGTATCTTCTCCACAGACCCTCTCCAAGCCCCCAGCCTATGAGGAGAGCATCTTCCAGATCAAGATCTGTTTCTCCTCAACCAGCAGCTCAGAAACGTCCACCCCCTGCATCTGCCTCCCCCTCACCGTCTCGCTCTGCTAGTGGGTCCCCACCACCAGCCAAAAAGGCCAGCAGCGGTTCCGGCAGTCAGTCCCCAAGCAAGGTTTGATATTTAATCTTATTATCCTATGGTTGATAGTATTAACACTTAAAGGTTTATGACTTCAGTCTTGAATATTATGCATGTCTTCGCATGCAGAATGCCACACATTCTGGAAAAAATCTGCATTGCCTGAATGTTTTTAATGTGCAACAAAATTATAATTAGGTTGTTGCATGCCCCTAAATTGAATTTTGTCCAGTATCCTAAAGGGTGTTAGTTTGTAATTGGGGTTTTGTTTAGGGATGATGTTGCAATGGAAGTATGCAGCTGGAAATGCAGTTTGAAATCTAAAGTGTTTTGAACACTCCTGACAATTAGATATGCATCATCATCCCATCTCTTAAACACTTGGAAAGACCTTTAATACTGGGAGAACTTGAAAGCATCTTGAGCCGCAAAACCAATTCTGTAAATTGTTGAAAATTCCCTGGAAATTATGTATTTAATTAAGTAGGAACCCCGCTGTTGCATAATCCCTGCTTGGCACAGTAATGCTTTGAATGTCATTCCTATTATGTTGTTTATGGTGTCATTTAGTAGCACTCAATGTCGGCCTCATAAAAACCTGTTTTATTGCAGAACTCAGATGTTGACGGCAGCGGGAAGAAAAAGAAGAAGAAGAAGGAAAAGAAACACAAGAAAGAGAAGAAACATAAGAAGCACAAGAAGCACAAGAAGGAGAAGAGTGGTGCTGCTGGTAATGGAGATGGGCAAGAAAACCAGGTTGTGGAGGAGGATGGAGATTCAAGAAAGGTAAAATTTGGTTACTAAAAATCACAGAAACTAAGGCCTTCTGATCCCTATTCAATAAATCTTAAAAAATGAAACTAGTGGACTTTACTACTTTACTAGTGGACAAAACTAGTGGATACACGAGTGATGTTTCACACTCTTCTTTTAGGAATCAGATAGTGAAGTAGATGACAGCTTGGACGACCTAGAGAAGCACCTAAGAGAGAAGGCCCTGCGCTCCATGAGGAAGGCCCAGATGTCTCCATCACAGATGTCCTGAAAACAAGGGGCTTTCTCACTTTTGAATTTTCCACTCACTCTTGATGTTTGTCATCAACCTGGTTCAGCTTTAGAATGTACAAATTGTTAATTCTTGAGTCTTTTGTTTTTCTTTTTACTGGTTTGGTACATTCTGAAGAGTGCGTTGCATTAAGAGCTTGATTTGTCAGTTAGTGTATTATCTAAACTGTAAAGAAGCTTGTGTTGTCTATCATTTTAAATTGTTGAGCAGGGAAACGGTTTAAGCTCGGAGGTTAGAGTTGGGCAGGTTTCAATTTTTTTCCACAGCCTACACTAGATTCCATTGAGAAATTATTGCATGTGCAGTGATTGTCTCTGATGTGCATGAACCACTGACCTTATGGAGTGTAGAGAAAAACCAACATACAGTAACATACTGTTACTACTGCCTTTTTATTAGTGGAACCAGTGACACAGCTGTGTGCACTGTTAGAGGCCCTAACAGAATGTCTTGTCCCACATTGTAACTCAATAGAGGTGTTTGGCATTGTTTAACCTGCTGTTTTTTCTGACTTTGAAATGATCTTGTTTTATGACTAAAACAGTCTGATATGATACAGAGTATGCTTTAATTTTCCAAATGAATTGATATGCAATTTTATGTTGACACTCTTGCACCAAGCTAATCTCTGTGGGACTGCTCTATAATTTGTATTTAGCAACCCTGGCTCTTGTCATCTGGTCATCCTTTCAGAATTAAAACCTTTTTATAGGATTTGTGTATTTTCCTTTTAATATAAAGGGGCTGGAAGATTTGCTCAGTTTTGTGTTGGTGGGGATCTATCAACTGACAATCGATTTGGATGGATGCAGATAAAAAAAAAATCTTTAAAAGCAGGTAAAATGCAGAATTGGTCATTACTGGGTTTTGGTTCTCTTACAGTTCACCTACATCTTCTGAAGCTGGTGTATGATATCTGCCTGCACTGCATAATTATTCAAATGAGACATCAGGGCCCCAATCTTATGTATCTGCTAAGTCAAAACATCTAATGACAACATGCTGCAGGATATTCAGCAGCTGATCAGAAAAGTATGTGTTCTGTGTAACTAAATCAATAAAACAACCGGTGTCTTTGTCACTAGTTAGACCAAAAAGTCCATTTACTCATACTTTTTTCTTAGTTTCACGCCAGTGACAGTTGATCCCTAACTGATTTCTTGAATTGTGTTATTTAATGACAAATAACTAGGGCTGAACCTTTGTGCAAAAAACCCCATTAATTATATAGTAATTATTTGACATATTGCAATTGCGAAATGAGTCACGGTTATAGTAGGAATGCTGGAGTACCAAACCAGCATGTGGGGAATATGATTTACAGACCGAGGCATCTCTTAAGCATCAAAATGCTTCATTTATGGTCCGTTGTGACACGCTTTGCCTTTATTAAAGAAATTGCAGCTGCTGCAATTTGGATATTGCAGATGGCCATATTGCCATTATTTCGATTAATTGCTCAGCCCTGCAAATAAAATTTTAAAAACAAAAGTACAGCATGTACGCAAACTGATAAAGATTATTAAATTATTGCTATGTTTTTCATTAAAAGAGGACTTAGACTAAAATATAAATAAAATATAAAGTGGTGGACAATTGACCTAATGAGAAATTTTCTTTGGATTTCCTCTATATCTCTTAAAGAAAAGTTTAATGGCGGCAGGCGATTTAAGAAAATGGATTTATTTTTCTGACAAAAATAGTGTATCTGTCCTGGGACTGACGAGCAGCAGTTCCAGCGTTATTCCTCATCCTCCTCCCAATGAGAGACTCCCTCCTCAAACCCTCCCACATTTTCTGTTTGCGCTTCAATGACATCACAGCTTTAAATATTCCCGTTGCTTCTCCCACCGTCCTCATCGTCACTGCTCAGCCAGCGTAAAGAGCCTCACAAGCCAACGATGTATTTGTAGTTCAGCCAGCTTGAAGTTTAAACACCAGCGTAAAAACAGTTGTATCCGGCAGACACCTCTGCCTCCTCGTCCGCCCTGCTCAACAGACTTTCTGCGTCCAACACCGCGGGTCCTCCTTGGGGGAGAAAAAGCGCCTACTGGGATTGAGTGCGGAAAAAAGGGTGGTGGAGAGGTGGACCGAGCTAAGTCGGGCGTGGTAGCAAGAAGAAAAGAAACTCATCTTTGTTAGCGAAACTTCACAAAGTAGCATCCACAATGTCGCTGTCGGTACCACAGAACGGAGTAAAGGCGGATAACGAACCCGTTATCGAGCTGTTTGTGAAGGTAAGACCGCAGCACAAGTCGTATGGGAGAAGTTTTTCATTGTCGGTTAAACCTAACGTGTATCAGTTCACAGCAATGAGAAATGCTTCATTACTGGTTTGGGAAGGAAAATAACGCTATCGATATTATTTCTACAGACTAGGGATTTGTTTAGCTAAGACCACTTAAGCTAGCAATGCGTTAGTGTTTCACTCACGGGGGTCTGTATTTGATATAAAGGCTGGGACAAGATAGCTAGTCGCTTGAAGTGAAAATCTGTAGGTTTTACATCCATAACCCTCTCTGCCATTGTGGCCATGTGGAGCCTGCAGTGTCACCAGCAGGGCGGATGCAGCTTGCCCCCCCCCCGGCCCATCGTGGGGAAGGACGAGCCTGCCATGCTGAAAAACTGGGCGCTAATTCGGTAACAAAAGCTCAGTAGCTGCGGTCCACAGCAGCCGATACTACACTTTAAACATGTGCACACTTGCTGCAGTTGTATTTCTTAGTTGATTGACACAATATGCAGGTGATGGATTATGTTAGAGGTGCATACATCCATCCATACGGCCATGAATGGACACTGGAATAGACTCAAACCAGTCATTTCAGTGTAAGTTTGGTGTTTGGATCATCAGACTGCCACCATAGATCTTTGATGGATAGACTGGTTTGGTGATGCCCTTGTTAGAGATTATTTACAAGACAAGGATATGACAAAGAATTGTGGTCTGTTGCTACAGTATGTTACAGGCATCTGTCATTAGTGGTGTTGGTGCTGTATTGTGTGTTGTTATTTCTATGAACACAGTTCTTTACATTTACATATGGTGACACATCAGAGAGCTTGATGGATGACCTACAGAGAAATCTTTTTTTTTTCTACAGCACCACTGCTTTTCCTATAACAGGTGACGCCGATGATTGTGGTGGTGGTGGAGGGTAGTGAATGGCTGTTTTCTTTTCTTCAGCCTGTTGCTTTGGAGGGCGGGAAAATGACAGAGGAAAGAAAAGGGGGAGAAAGGGGCTGTATACGGGGGCGGGGGGAGTGGGAGGGGGTTTGAGGTCCTGCATTGCCTGGGAGAGCATGTGGGTGGTAGTGCAGTGGGGTGTCACTGACCACAACAACAAACACTTAATAGTATGTGTATGTTTACAGCTCTGAAATACATTTCTTAGTGCTACTTATGAGAATAGTTACTTGTGATAAGCCTAATTAAAAATGTTTATTAACAAATCCACCTTATTTAAATTTAATCATATTATGCATTTGTAACCTTGTGTAGCTGGCTTCTGTTTTGGGGTGTGTCATACTGTCAGCTCAGGCCTGTAAAAGTTTGATTCTCTGTCTTCCAAAATCTGTCCAGATTCAGTACAAATACTGAAATCCTTTTCTTGTATTGTTGCTGTTGACTCTCTAAAGGGAGTCCTTTTTGTTGTGAGGTATTGATGAGGCAGAGAAGCAGAGGCTGATGGGAAAGAACTGGCCAGCATTATTTCCTCAACTACCTCTCACAGCCTCCAGGAGAGGTTACATCATCCCCAGGCCTGGAAGGTTTACATATGTGGCCAACTCTTCCCTCCCAGCCCCTCCCTCTTTGGACTGTGCAGCCCCGTTGTGTACAGAAGTTTCCTCCATTGTGTGTTTTCTCGTTGTGTCTGTGTGGGGGGACATGATAGCCTGTCGTCTCTATCGCTCTAGCGCGGCTGTGTGTTACCTACATGTCCACATCTATTATTGATGCCGTTGTTCTTACTGTGCTGCATTAAACACAGTCATGGGGGACAATGGCAGGCATGCAGGTTGCCATAGGCACACTGGTGCGAGCCGGGCCTCTGGGAACAGCTGATAAGGAACTGTGCGTGCTGCTCTCCATGCACAGCCGTGTCAGATCTGTTAGGGCACTGCCACATATCAGAGCTGACTAATTATACTTCCAGTACATGAGTCTCCACAGTGTCTGTCTGAATAGACTGAGCAGTGACAGCGCTGTTAACCCATTAACAGTAGTTGACCCTCCCACTTTAGAGACACTTAGATGATTTCGCACTAAAACTTTTCTACCTGCAGTGTTTATCACAACAGTCGTAACATTGTTATGGGAACACTTTACATTGGACTCATCTTCAAGGGCGGTGAGGTGAAGCTCAGCATTGTCAGCATTTTTTGCTCTAAATTGCAAATGAGTGTGATATAATGACATTGTAAGAGGGAAGGTCGACCCTTGACCTCATCACAGTCCGGCAGATTAGATATCATTTTGCACACGAGGAGTAGTCTGCTCTGGTGAGCTGGAGAGGTTCTCCTTTCCAACATCCTCCCATGTCTGTTTCACTTGGCACTTCCACACATAACATGGTTGAAGTGGTAACATGAAACCCTAAATCTGATGTATTTATGTGCTGTGATAATTGTGACGTTTTTCTGTGACTTGAAGTCGAGAAGAACAAAAGTGCAGCTCCGTATAATTATGTTGAATCATCGCAATTCAAGTTACACTTTGAAATCTTGACTCTTAAAATGAGGTCCATCCATTTCTCTATATTGATCATAGCACTACCTGATTGAATGAGACGGAGTGGTTTTCTTCAAAGCTGCTCTGAGATGAGTCAGGTGGTTGTATTGTGTTACTTCTACTGGATGGTGAAAGAGATTCACTATTGTTGATGTGTATGATTCTTGTCATTAGTACAGGCCTGATTATGTTTTCATTCAGTTTCTCACAGCTTTACAAAGTTGCTCTGAATTAATTCTGGCCAGATATGCTGGTGCGTCCTTTTCTGCCACCATATGTCCTGACTATATGGCAGTGAAAAGAATATGGATGAGTTAAGAGAAACAGACAGGCGTTATCTCTACTTGTGTATGCGTCTGTCGCCTGCAAATGTGCCAAGGTCACGTTACTGGTTGGAAAGCCTCCTGCTGCCTCCAAACTTCCATCCTCTTGCCAGCAGTGACAGCATAGCCAGTAAACATGTTAGAGAAGTGCTTTTAAGTCTGGATGGCATAAGAGCCCATCTGTGTTTGTGGTTGTCCTTCGGGACAGTCTCTTGGGAACAGTGGAGTGGAAAGCCGGCAACATGGCAGAGGTCCCAACAAAGTGGCACTTCTGTAGGGATGATCAGGGTGAACAGTCAGCACACTCTGTAGGCGCAATTAATAGTCAACACACATTGCAGTGCCCACTCAGATTTAAGTTTCACTTCCTTGTATATGAGAAAATATGCTATGGTCCATGTGAAGTCATAGTAGACACGAGGAGTCTGTTCTGTGAGGTTTATTTAAAAGGCCTTGGGAAGAGCAGCTCATGTCCTATTGTGCTATCAGTCAGAACACGTGATAATCAGAGTTGTGCCATGTGATGTACTGTTTTTATGGAAACACAATGACCTTTTTCAGCACTTACTTTGCTCAATGCTGTTGCATGAAATTACTTGCATGGCCAAGTGCTACTTGTACATGTTTTTATCAGTGTTCAGTTGATCCACAGGATGATGGTAAAGGTATCAAGTCATAGCTCTGTTTGAATGTCACACTAAAATTTGCTTACTGTTTGCATATTGCTTTTCAGTTAAAATAAACCCTTTCTCTCCCCCTTGGGTGGCATGGGTGGTATTCTAGGCAACCGAGGGCTTTTTTTTTTTTTTTTTAAATAGGAAAATCGATGGAGCAGTTTATTTTTCCCCAAGCATATAGCAATGCTGCAGTCAGCATCATGAGTTAGGGTACAAAGATTAATGGCGTGTTACTGTTGTAGAGTGCTGTGCTGTTGCTGTGAATTTGCTTTTGCAGCACCTGACCTGTCACTGCTTCTTCTCTGTAACGATCTGGTTGACTGACTCTCTGGAAACTGGCCTAATCCTTCTGGCAGCGTGTTATTACACCAAATCGAAGAGGGGCAATCAGTCTTTGTATTTATATGGAGAGGCGTATTAAGAACTTATTTATGTTCATGTCAGAAGATTATAGGATTGATCTTTGCTACACATGTGATCCCAGTTGTGCCTGAATAAATGTATCCTGTGTGATATCATGTTGTGCCAAAATGTCCAGAGGAAAAGTTGAGTTCAATCTAATAGGCAGAGGAAGAGCTTGTCTCATTTGTGCTGCCCGACCAGGAAACCAGTGGCTAATGAGGCATTTCTCCTGCAAGCTCAATGACGGGAAGTGAGGCCAGCCTAGAACAACATAGATCTGAGACTTCAAAGATTGAATCCAACCAGATTCAGAATTCTTGCTAGTTCATGGTGCGTTTTACTTGTGAGCTAATAAGGGCTGTACAGGTCGCTGCAGCAGTTGTAACCTACCAGGTCAGGATACAGAGGAAAAACGAGCCTCTGACTCACCTCTGCTTCTCTGTTACATCATCTTCACTGTCAGAGGAGGTGAATGACCCCTTAAATAAGTGAATCTGCCCTCCTTACTACACATGTAACTTAATCAGTCTCAACATGATCCAGTCTGCTTGTGTTTCACGTGCTACGTTCTTTGTAGCAGAGCCAACTGACCCACTGATGTAACCCAAAGTGAACCCGAACATGGAGAATAGGGTGATGGGGGGGCCCTCGGTGTCCCATATATCCATTGAGGTTTGGCGGTAGAAGACTGTGGCCCAATCCCAATGTCCGCCCTCACAGACTCGCAGACACCCCATGAGGGTTTAGGACTGTCTCACTGTAAAATCATAATTTTTACACACTTTGCCTGAGGGTATTACCAGCATTTCATAGTGTAGTGATGTTAAACACGGGGTTACCGTGGTTGCCACGGGATGCCCAGAAGCGTTGTAAAAGAACAGTAAACAACTTCCATAAAGTGGAAAAAATAATAAGATGGAGGAAGAAATGTTAACAAGCAAGTATGGAAGGAATGAACCCTAACGCTAATGTTACAAGAAAAAAGAAGTTTACATTTAAATATAAACAGAGCTCAGTGGTGACTGTATGCATGATGGCAAGATGATAAATTCCAAATCTGCCTTCATCAGATCTGGTCCAACATTACTATTTTGTTTACAAAC